CAGCTAGGATTTTGATCGGTGGATTCTGTATTTTGAATGGTCAAGCTTGCCACTTCTAGTATTCCTTGGGAAAAGAATTATTAAATCTCAGTTTATAGGTGTTATCGTTATACTACAAGTCATGTCCATTTCTAAGAACTTTCCAAAATTTTGAAATCCTCAAGGGTATTAAAAAAAATTTGCATGGTCCAGACTAGTTGTGTTTTTTTCCTGCAGAACAAGGCTAATGGAAGAGAAGGTACTAATATAAAGCTATTTGAATCTCTTAATGCCTTATCTACTCCCGTTGCTGCTCTTCATTCTGTATGAGCCTTTTCCATCCAAATGAATTACATACGATAATTTTGGGTGTTGTAATAAGCACATAGGCACCATAATAATGTATTTCAGTTAGGAAGAGGTACTTGGAAGAAATTGGTTTTGCTATACACATGATGTGAGACAATCAATAGTGCTTTAGTCTGACAAGCATTGTCAATATCTATTGTCACAGTTCAGAAAGTCATTAATGGATAGTTCTTCAAAAACCAATGCTTTCAACATGTTAGAAGTGTTCAGATATACTGTACCTGGCAGGAATTAATCATAGGTAAACCCTTGGGATTATGTATAAATGTTTTGTAAATTAAGAGTGAAATAAAAGTCATTGGAAGGAATGTGACATCATGTTATATGGAGCTACAAAATCTCGCCAATAAAATATGGAGCGGTTTAGAACATATTAAAACATTTTACTTTCTGAATCATTCAGGCTTTCCCCAGAACATCACACCCAGGAAAAACAGTCTGCTAGAAATATATTGTCTAGGTACATGACTAAATTCACAGAAAGCAATCACATAAAAATTTTGATCCTTGCCCTGAAAAGTTTAGAGCCTTGCCTGGTTCTTTTAGTTGTGGCTATGCCAAAACCCTGGAGAAAGGCTTTTGTAACTTTACCTTGTAAATATGTTAGCTACTGCTTAGTCCTGCTTAAATTATGCTATGTTTACTCTCATTGCACCATATATACAATTCAGTGCATTAAGTTATAGCAAGCAATTCTTCATCTGTACATCTCAAAACTTCTATTGACTTCTGATGGTACTATTTCTGCAGAACTGTGAGATAACGCATTAATTCTTTCCTTCCACCTGTCTTCTTGTGTAAAAGCTCTTGTACAGACTCTATTTTGTGGTTTTGCATGATACTCCTGTTTTTTATATGTTATTAGGAATGTTGTGGCACTGAATAAGTGTTCAGAGGATTTATATAAGCCCCAAGAAAGGTAGGTCAGTTTTTTCTTGGTGCAATTTTTTTGCAGAGAATTCAGTCTATAGTCATCCTTCCTAATTCACTAACTGATGTTATTACAGTGCTATCCAACATTAAAGGCCAAAAATGTGTTCTTTCTTTTATGCCTGATGATGTGTTTATACTATTTTCTTTTTGTACCCAATCTGTATTACACTTCCCTAATATGATAAACTGTTGTGATTTAATATAGCTTAATTGTAGAGCAAATTGTCTGAGGAAAAGATCTTGACATTTTTTTCATGTGTCCATTAATACCTTTTCCACCTGTGGAATAAATAGAGACCTAACAAAGTGACCAAAGTCGTCAGAAATGCTTTTCTAGATCTGAGAATCCAACTTTATTTCCAGCCAAATGTGAAAGTCAGCCAGTATTCAGGTTACATTTTTGCTGCTGGATTGAAGTGTCCTTGCAGCCACTTGCACCAGCAGAAGAAATTTAGCATAATATTGGACTCTGTTGGGTTCCCCTCTACGTGTGCTCTAAAAGGCCCTGGCACAACAAGAGCAAGCATGTGTTTCCTTTTTCTGTCTCAGAAAGTCCTAGTGCAATATAAGAAATACTTAATTGAAGAGTCTGTGCAAAGGGAGGGGGATTATCCTTCTGTTCTGTGTTGGTTTTGAAGCATTTATGTGGATTTGTCAGTGTCAGTATCTTCAGAAATTGAAGATACGAGTTTATTCAGTACAATGAATCAAATGGCACACCTATGCAGTTTATGCCAGGGAACATACAGTAGAACAAGCAGTAGATTTTATTTCTTATTATTTTATACTTAGATTCTTAAGTGTCCTATGTTACTTCCCTATGGAAAGGCTTTCCACTTTTTTATGTTTTTTGACATTTGCCAGCTCTGTTTCACGGAGGATTATTCTGGCCAAATCCAGAACCTGAAATTTAAAAGGGAAGGTACTCAAAAAAATATTTATTGTGGTTTCTGAGTTTTATAACTACTTTTTTTTTTTTTTTCTCTCGGAACTAAGATTTGGTCCTCTTTGTATTTCCAAATGTAACAGCAAAGTGATTTTAATGTGGGGAATATCGCGAGAAGAATGGTTTAACAAGAGAAGGATTATTTCTAAAAGAGATTCCAACAAGAATATTTCTGGCTAAGCTTGGTTTTGGAACATGCTATCTAAACCCTTGAATTTCTGGGAGGCTTGGAGTTTCCCTCTGGTGACTCACACATGCTTAATAGAATAAAATAAGAAATTCATCAAAATTAGCTTTGCTGCTGTTTTTATCTATGCGCTATACAGTTCAACATAGAACATACAAAAGTATCCATGACAATAATTATTTCTTCCTCTAGATGTAGTTTTAACACCATAATTGCTGTTTCAGGTATAAAACTTCCAGCTGGGTTAATGTATCTTTCTAAACAGAGGGATCTTTACCCTGCTGCCAAGTCATAGATCCCCTATCCTACCATTCGCAGTATGACCACGTTCACTTCAGTTAAAATACCTTAACAAATCTGGTGTATACTTAGAGCCAAGCATGTAGTTCAAGTGGGCATAAAACGCTTCAGAGTCCTGCAGAATGGGAAGTGTGGCAGGCATCTTAAGTGACTTCAGGGATGTTTTCACTCCTGCATCATTTGTGCTGGGGAACCTTCACTGTAAGTCAGGAAAAAGCAAACTTAAATATGAATCGCTATGGACAGAATGACCCTCAGCAACAAGAGAGTCCCCAAACTAAATACAATTCACTTCAGTGTTTCAAAGTACCATTAAGATGCAGAATTAGAAACATCCATTTGTTGTTCTTTTTATAGCACAGCCAAGTGACTTGGAATTTTAGCTTGTCCCTGCCAAGGATTGCTCAATTTCGAACAAAAAGTCCTCCACTATAACGTTAAAAAAGCACCAACCATCAATTGAATGCTAATCTTTATATTCTATGATACATCACTCCAAGAATGCTACCATTAAAAAATGTGAATTCTATTTTTCATAAGTGATGGATTATTGTACCAAGCTGTGTATTTTCCAGTAAAGTGTCCTTTTATTTGTCCTGTGTGATTACTAGTTTGTGGAAGTATGTGTGGGGTCATTTTGGTGCTGTGGGAAAATGGAGCACTCTTCTGTTAAAATCAGTAGTGAAATCAGAAGCAAACTATGCTCTGATCATCATAGGCATGTGTTTAAATATTGCTTTCCTTAATTGGCTATGTTCTATTTACTTAAAGTGAACAATTTGGCAAGTTTTTCTCCCTTGACAACAGCAAAGCGTAAACCATTTTATAAGTTTGGCTGTTAAAATCAGATTTGTAATGTAAACCACAATATTCCAGGGTTGTTGCTGTTGCTTAACCAGTTATTTTAGCTTGCCATTGTTTTATAATTGTGCACCTTTAAATATTCTGGTGCTGTTTATAACTTATGCAAAACTTCTTGCTACAAAATAGCCCAATAATATTGATGATAATTTTCTTTTTGCTCTCTCTCTCTTCCCTTCGTTTCCCTATATGAAGATCACTGCATTACAGGGGGGATTCAATCTGGATGGGGAGATTACGGAGCTTCTCTGTAACCGCCGCTAAACTATCCAGGGTACTGTTTAGAAATTCTGTCAGAGGGACAATGGACCAACTCCTGCAAGTTCAACTTGTGGACAAGAGTGTGTTTTGGTGGATTGATTGATTTATTTATCTATTTAGTTATTTATTTATTTTCAAGAGAAGGTGGAAAGCTATTCTTTCCTCAAAAAGCAGAAGCCACCCCTCTCTCAGCTGGAGGTCCTTGCCGGGGAAGGCTGTACAGCTCTGGCTGTCCCATTTTCCTGCTCAGCAACTGGGGGAATGGGCAGGGTGAGAGAGCCCAGGACACGGGATAAGGGTTATTCAAGGGTGGTGAGGCTCAGGTGATTTGTTAGAAAACTTTAAAAATCTGTGTGTTTAGGGAAACCTTTGGAGAAGGTCTTCCCACGGCATCACTGCTGCTTCTGTAGCATCCAGCCTTGAGTGCTGAGTTTCTCCTTCCTACTAATACTATTTTGATAGCTATGATGGTGCCCTGTAAGCACCTCAGCAGAGAAAAAGTTAAATTTATGCCTTTGAAACTTCCTCCAGGGGATTTTCTGCAGCTGGGTTCTATGTCTTTTTGACACAGAGCAGGAATAAATTGAGCTCAAAATGTTTCTCAGTTTGGTAAATGCCTAAATATAATAAAATATAATCATTAGGACGGGAATACTTTTCTTTCCATAAATTAATGCATCTTGCACACATTTCATGGCATATAGCCATGTTTTCTATAACTGCATTAAATATATATATAACGCTTAATCCATCTTGGCAAGAGAATTCAGTCCTTCACTAGTGGTGTAACCATCCATCCTTTCTCATAACAAGTAGTGTATAGCTAATAGTGCATAGCACACTTTGAGTCCAGAGTTTTAGTAGAAAAATCATCCATGTGAAACTTGTGGGATTCGTGAACATTTAATGAGTAAACTGGTCGCCATCCAAATACTTATGGGCAATAAATAATACAACTCTCTGAATAACCAGCAGAATGAACTCATCATGTTTATTCACGAAAGTATTAATCAGACGTTTTGTACTATCCAACCAGCTACACTGCTGACCTACCGCATGATTTTACTAGGGTGGCTATGGCCATTATTTTCTAAGGATATTTGAACAAACTACTATTAGTTTAAAATTATCATTTCACCGAAGCTTTTTTTTTATTTCCTTTAGTTTTCAGACTGAACTACAGTGCCTCTGACACAAATGACAGAAACCGAGTTAAAAGCAGATTAAAGAAGTTCATCTCCCGAAGACCCTCCTTGAAAACATTGCAAGAAAAGGGACTTATTAAAGGTGTGTTCGGTCTTATATACTTTTTTTGAGTGAAAAGTAAAAATTTACAAATGAATTTTTCATTCTCAGTTAAATGAATAAGTGCATTGGGCAAATACTTCTTAGATATGGTTTTGTTGCTGTGTCTCATGAAACTTGAACTGCTGAACTGTAAAGAAAAAAACAACGTATGGTTACATCTATCTCTGTGCTATCTGACTACTGCTTCAATTTTTGTGCTTTGGTGTGCATGTGGTAGAAGCCCCTCCAGTTAACACAGGCACTCACCGTGCACATTGCAAATCAACATGCTGCGCAACTCCATTTCTTTTTAAGAAAAGAATGTTGATACGGTTTTATATTTTAGAATCCAAAATAGGAACTTCAGATGCTGTGCTGACTAATTTGTTTTCTAGGGTAGGCTGGAATACTTTCTGCTGTCTTCTCTCATTATTTTTTTAACTCGCCAACAAAATACATTTTTAACAATTTAAAATATGTGCCAGTGAAAAATAAATGCTTTGGATCTGTGATTTTTTCGTACTCCAATTTCTTGCTAAGTTGGTCAGCCATCACTTTCACTGATCCTTAAAAAATTGTTTCTTTGATAAAACGTGTTTGTTAGTTTATCCAAGGAGCAAGCATATTGCTAAGAAGCTGGTAGTTAACTTGAAGGCGGTAGCATTCTGACCACTAATAATCGAGCAAAGCCATGTTTTCAAATATTCTCTGGAATAATGCTCTAAAAATTTACGCACTCCCAAATTATTATGTGTGAAACCCACAACTGCACATGCAAATTGACTAGAAAGAGGCATTTTGCCAGCAGCCCCTGTCAATCTCTGGAGTGTGAGTTTTCCAGTGGTGTGTCAAAGATGGCAAGGGGTGTTGCGAGTGTGTATTAGATTTGTCTGTCCTGAGCCAAGAGATTGACCCCAGCCAGCAAAAGCTAAAGCAGCCACAAGAGTTAAACACCAGCTGGGCCCACGTCTGAAGAGGAGGAGATGATTTTATGAATTAAGGTCTTATGTTTTAGATACATGCAAAAATGTTCAGTGCAATGTTGCTTACTGCATGGAAGTCTTCATCATATGAAATCATTATGTGCCTTAGTGATGAGCTTCTGCCTCTAACTGCCACAGAAACTTCAAAAAAATGTAATTTATGCATAAATATATGTGTGTGAGGTGTGCACACTCACACACCAAACTTTCAGGATCTGTCCTTACACATTCATAGTATGTGATTTCAATACATTGGAAGGTTTCGCCCCTTTGAGGTACTCTGTGGGTTGAGGGTGGGATTTGAATGCATCGTATCAGTTTGTTTCAGTTATTACAGTAATAGAGGAGTAATTTATAGTCTTTTAATTTCTGGATTTAAGGGGGTTTTTTTTAGTTTAATAAAGTGTGGCTGATGAATCTCCTGCGGTGTTACATAGGGATCAGATGTGATCCCTGCTAACAAATCCAGATTCATTAGCATAACTCAAATCTGTCCTCTAATATATCTCTCTAGGAAAGCCAGATGCATCTGGGTTTGGCTACAGTTGCATTAAGCTCTTGATTCATAAACATAGCTTGGTTCTACCTGGGATACTCTTCCATGGATAACAAAGATGCGTGATTTGTGACACAGTAATTCAGAATCGGTACGCAGCACAGTTTTATTACCAAACTAATGTTACCATGAAGAAAACATGTTAGTTATCTACCATGAAGTTTCATTAGGATTAGGTTTGGGCCATGCAAATGAGGCAGGATTCGTTAGCACGGCTTAATTCCAATCTACGGTAAGTCTATGTGAAATGCTCATTTGATAAGGTTCCTTCATTGTCTTCACCAGAGTTTATCCCTTAATCTGTTAAAATGTTATGAAAATGCAGTTGCAGTGCTTCTACAGAGACCACTTTTAAATGTTAATTTTTAGGCTCACATTAGAATATTTTTAAATCACAAAATGCAACCATCCAGCTTAAAAATTAAAAGCTTGCCAAATTTTGTATTATAAGATGCATCTATTTATTTTTCTAAGGTGACTTAAATGGTTGCAGAAACCTCTCAAAACTATTTATTTGCTCGTTTCTTAAGGGAAAAAATGTTAACCAATTTTTACAAGAAAAAATTCCTCCAGCTCTGAGAACACGCATACTAACTTTTATCCCATAGGGAAATACTTCTGTCAGAATTGTAAATCCCTTAAAATAGGGGCTCGTAATAAAAGTGTGTCTAAAGCCTTGCAGGACATCTCAGTACCGAGTTTCTGACAAAGGGCTGTTCTGTGTGCTGGTGAAGAATTGATATAAATATCTGTGAAGCGTGTGGTGTTAATTACTCCAATGCAGTGGCACTATAGGTGCTGTGAAAACCTTCACTTTTCATCAAGTGCTATTCATATTTGCCAGGGGCACTATAAAGCTCTCAAATCTATATTGATTTTTTACATTGTATGTCACATTGGAACCAAAACTCCAATAAATTTAACACGTAAATTATAGTCATGAGTAAATACATTTTAAGGTGGTAAGTTCACTCAAACACAGTTCTGTGCTCTGTTACTCACTGATGTGTACACACTTGGCCAGAAGACTCGACACATTTCTCCACATTAACCAAATTTGGGAATACAGGCTTCAAAATTAAATAGCAGTTTGATCTCCTGGGGTACTTTGTTCTGCCAACACTGTTATCAGAAGATCTAGAAATTATGTGATTGTCATTTAACTCTTACAAAACTTTGTAGAATGGAGCAAATATCCATGTAGTAAATAAAGTAGGTAGTTAACAACTGAGAAGAATAAGAAGGAGGAGGATAATAACCAGACGAGGGAACGTAGCAGACCAGGGTGTAAATGTTAGTTGTAGATTGATCTGCAAATGAAGATGTGACGACACTTTACATGACAGAAAGTTATTTTTGTCATCACAGTCCCATTTGCTTTCTAGTCCTCTGCGTAAAAGAAGCCAGAATGGGAACAGCACATTGGCTCCATTCATTGCGATGGGCTGGTGACTGGGGCTTTTCATGCTCCAGCGAGAGCTCTAATGAAGATCATCAGTCCTTCTCATTCCATCTCACTCATGCTTACACAAAATAACTTTGGTTTAGAAGCATTTTGAACTGGTTTTGAGGTGATGTGTAATACAGTATTTTTGTGTAATGCATATGTGTCTATATGCACACTTATGTTCATATGTATCCACACATGCACACAAACCTAGAAATAGTAAATAAGAGGCATGTTCCAAGCCTGTCATTTTAACCTTGTTATCTTGAGAATAACTGCGTTCAAATTTATATGCTAGGGCAGGGGTCTTCAGTTCCTCGGGATTGAAATATTCTCAGAATTTACAGAATCTGCACTAATATGCTAGAAAAATAATATATAAATCTTCTCTTTTAAAACTACTTTATAGTCTATAATTGAACTTTGATCTTTATGTTTGAGCTTTGTCATGATTTAATATTACCCAAAATGAATTGCCAACCTTCAACTTGATATTGGCCTGCTAACTTCCTGATTTCTGAGCCTTTCTAGTCCACAAAAAAAAAAAAAAAAAAACAAAAAACCCTTCTGTGAAACTTCTGTGATTTTAAAGCTATGGTGGTTGTGTTGGTAATAGATTATCACAAAATACACTTTCAGTAAATGGTAAAAAAGCATGAGTAACAACTTAACACAAATGACACTGTGGGAAATGAGGCAAATGCAGCTATGCAGCTGGCAAGAAATTAATTTAGGTTTTTGGGGGTGGATTTTTTTTTCCCAAAAGCTAGACACCGAAGGAACTTCATTGAATTTATTTCATAAGTTAAGTTAAGGCAAAAACCAAAACAGCATAAAAATTGGAATGGTTACAACTGTTTCAAGATGAAAATAAAAGCCACTCAATTGCTAGTGAAAGGAACTAGCTGTGATTTGGCTTGATAGGCTATAGAACAGGACTCAGCATATGTTGGTGGTTGTGCAGATAGCAGCACAGAGGTCACCAACCATTTTATTTCCAGACAAAGGAAAACGTCTTTATTGTCTCATATGTCTCAATGGACCCTGGAGTAGTTCAATGTAGTGAGTGTAATGCTCATGAAAAGTCCAAAAGAGTGGATAAGGACCAACCTTTGGTGTGTTCTGTAATTCTTCTGGGTTATGAAGGAATTTAGCAAGTGATCTGGTGCCCATAATAACTTAGGGAAAGTTAGGAAATGTTTCCTTTGACTTGCAGGGACAGTGAGTCACAAGGGTATTTCTTTCTTTCTTTGACCACTACATGGATATTTGGAAGTACGTTTCCCAAACGCTGCAGATGGCCAAACTCTGGACAAAGTGATTTTTTCCTTTGACATGATGGTCAGAAATAATTCAGATAATTTAAAAATATCTCTTTTTTGGAGACCTGTTTTGAGGAGTAGAGCAGACTCACTCTTTTTAAATTCAAATGAGCTCTTGTCCCCAGTAAAACACCATCATTTCTTAAAAGAGACCAGTGTCTGCAGTCCTCTCTATTTTCCCTTTTCCTGAGAATGTGAAACAAATCTGGTAGCTCATATGCCACTTAATAGTAACTGTTCACAAATGTAATTTTTTTAAAATTGATGACCACCACAGATCAACGATATATAGTAAATCTCCAAGTTAAAAGGACTGGCAAGATTCCCAGCTAGCATAAATCAGGGGAGCTCCATTGACAACCTCGCTGACTTCAGTCAGCTGAGGACCTGGCCCACTTATTGTAAAAGCCTCGTGGCATTATTTGGAGCCCAGTCTGGGATCAAGATCATTTTAATGTCTGATTTAATATGTCTAACTCTACAGATTGAGCAGCTAGAAGAAGTCACTTTTCAGAATATGGCCCTTTCCAACCACATCCCTTCCCCCTCCAAAAAATTCACTGCTATGATGTCTACTGTTCTGTCCCTCTCTCTATACATTCCTCTTTTATTTTGCCGTTTTGTTCTCTTTCCCCCTTTTCCTCTGTCCCTCTCTCTATACATTCCTCTTTTTTTTGCTGTTTTGTTCTCTTTCCCCCTTTTCTCTCCCAACATTCAAACAGATACAAAGAAAACAAACAACTTGGATGTTGATACAAAGCTCTGGTAGTCCAGCAGTTCAAATCCAAATGTAGCAGAGTTAACTCTGCTCCTGGAAGGCACTGAATTACACAGGTATAATTCACGTTTCTAAAAACTTGGGCGTTACACCATTATACCTTCTCCTCTCACGTTAGAATTTGAGCTTCTCCCCGAGAAATGGGAATATTAGCCATGCCCTTCCCTGTTTTTTTAAAAAAAACCCACTGAAGTACGAGTTCTTTCCAAGTGTGGCCACATCTCATCCATGTACACCAAAAACAGTTAAACAATGACATTCTTAGTGAGGATGTGGCTTTAGTGATTTTGTTTTAATTGTTTCTTTTCCAGAAGTATTGTCTCCCATAAACTAGATTTCTGCAGCTCAGAATTAGTGGCTTTGCTGCAGCCTGCGAGAGCTACTCAAAAAAAGTAGCTCTGTCAAGCTCAGGGAAAACTTGAAGCTCACCAGAACGAGCAATTCATTGCAGCTGTATTCATCATTTTATATTACACAACTTGCAAATGTCCATTCCCTCCTCTTCTGGTGTCTCATTTTATATCCATGTGCAAAGCTGTCACACACCCCACCATCTTAAGTAGAAAGTTTAATGCGCAGATATCAGGGATGTGTAATGTAAACCATACCACCAAACATATTATGAATATATTGCTCTTCTTAAAAATGCTTGTTGGTTTTTCATACTACAGTATTGACTAACTGTCTGTGTTTGATGTATGGTTTACCAGCCTGATGTAGACTTATGGTTAGAGCTTAACTTGTTAGTTCTGCTTTTGCAGCCAATTCAGAATAACTACAGATGCCCCAAGATATTAAAATTGACTGCTCAAATGGACTCAGTGTGGGAGTTTCATTGGTTTTAAATTGATAACAGCTGAAAGAGTGAATGATTAAAGCTGTATATGGGCATAGTATGCAGCTCCTTTGTACAAGCTCTTGTGAACAGAATCCACTGTATGGGAATTGCCTTTGTTCTAATAAAAGATATTTCTGAACAATTGTTAGTTTAAATTTTTAAATGATGAAACAAGAGCATTTCAGGAGCCTATAGAGGAAATAATTCCTGAGAAACTGAAATAACTCTGAGAAGATAAAGTGGATTTCTATTCAGAAGGGAGCATTTAAAATTAAGTAGCATTCCATAAGGTGGTAATTGTGTCTATTTCCCAGGCATTTCAGTTAAATAAGCTGGATAGGAAACATAAACTGTCATAACAGGAGGTTAGGAGTGTTGTGTACATCTTTTTTTTTTTTCCAAGTCATAAAAAATGAAGTTTTGAAGGACCTTATCACAAATAAATCAAACAAAGGTTTTTTTGTTTCTTTTATCCCTTTGGGAACAGTTCTTATTTTTTGAAAAAATGTCCTAGATATTTTCCCCTTAAACTAGTTTTACAATATATATATAGACACCCATAAAAGAATAAGAAAATTATATTTTAATCTTAGTTACACATCAATCTAGTTTGCAAAAGTTAGTAATTTGCCATTCCTATAATTCCTTGTTTTCAAAATACTGCACAAACAAATCTTAACTGAGTTTTCCTCAACTATCCCTCTGACCTCTAAGAGTGTAAATATGGCAGTGTAACTACTGCCATTCCCATGTTTATGTACAGGAACAGATCCAGCAAAAAATCAATTGACTAGAGAGAGTCACGGAGTTTGCGGTTCAGGAGTACCCAGAATTCAGAGTATTGGGATGATTCATGAGATCACGTACTTATAAATACTCATGAATTTCTAGAAGGGGAAAAAAAATCCAAAGCAGTTGTGTGTCGTCGTTTTATCATAGTCTGTTTTGATGCCCAGCAACTATTAATGCTGATTTGCTGCCCCTTCTGTTCAAGACAAAAATCCTGAGTGGCTATTTTCTAAAGAAGCTTAACTGCAGGATACAGAATGTGACTATAGCCATATACTGAAAGGTATCTAAAATGAGGTTAAACATTTTGCTGAAGGTACAGAATCTGCACCCAGAAAAGAAATAATGGACTAGGTAAGAATTGCAAAACAGTTTCCAGCATTTTCAAAATTTCCTTCCAGGAATACCAAGTATTCTGCATTCATACTGGGGATTGAAAGAGTAACTGCAAAATAATCCTGGAAGTTGGTTATAAAGTGGTTATAACAGAGAAGAGAAGCTGCTGAACACCCATGCATTAATTTTGATTCAGTTCTTCATGTATTGCCATCTAAACACAGTGCATTTTTTTGCCTGTTTTGCTTCTGAAATTGTTTGCAAGTGTCTTTGTCCACCAAATAAGATATATTTTTACTTCTTTTTGACATAATTTACATTGGAGACCATTCCATATTATGCAAAGAATTTGACAGGTCTTTGCTAAAATTTTAAAAAACAATTAAGATGTCAAAAGAGGAAGTGCTAGTACATTTTAATCATAAATCTCTGTATATATAATTACCACTGAAGGCAGCTATAAATGTTTTATGAAGAAAATGTAACCAGACTGTGCTTTGTCAGAAACATAACCCCAAAACATGTAACAGACTGTTCGCTAATGCTTAACGCCACACATGCACACAACCTTCTTCAGTGTAGTTCTGTGAACCCAGTCCTCCATCCCTTCTGCAGCCAAAACTCTGACTAACTTAAATTCAGGCTTTGATGTACTCTACCAGAATGCAGATCACATGCGTTGGGAGGTGCTGGAATAAACTTCCCCGATACATATCAAGAAGTCCAAATCAGCCCATGCACCCCACCTTGTTTCCCTGATCGTTCCTTACTCTGGGGTATTAGGAAAGAAAAGGCAATCGAGTTGTTCTTGAAATCTAAGCTTAGTAAGAAACAGTAGTGATTAACGATAGGAAAGTGAAGCTCCTTGCGAAGCAGAAAATAAACAAATAGCTTTTGGCCTGTTAGTGAGAAAAAGGTGTGCTGCTTGGAGGAAGAAGAGCTCAAACTGGTTATGGTGGAAGGTGGTGGGAACGACTACAGAGGAAATGTCCCATGCCACGGGAACTGTAAAGGACAGCAGGAGCTCCTGCTGTTCTGCTAATGAGCGTACTTGTTGGGTCTGCTGTGCAGAGCCCAGGTTTGTGCTAGCACCCATCAGCTACCTACACAAAAATTTTCAAAGCCTCTACACCAATTTCCAAAACGTAGTACTCTGTTGAAATGCTATATAGAGACTGTCCCTTTGGATAAATGATGATAATAAACTCCTACTGTTTGAGCATTTAACCGGCTCCTATTGAGTAGGTTCTCTCATCTGTTTGATTCATTTTGATTCTAGCTGACAACATCCCCATTACTGATTGCTCTTTTCATAATTTCTCAAACATATAGAGTAGAAAGGAGGTGGAGGAAGCTAATTAGTAATCTGAAGAGCTTAACCTGGTTATACAAATATGTTTTAAGACCAACATTCAAAGCTGATCAAAACTTTGAAATCATAAAACCCCAAAAATAGCATTATCTAGTTAAATGCTTCCTGTAAAGATGAGATTTGTACTAAGTCCTAATGATGCAAAGTAAAGAAGCCCTTGCACCCTTATGGTGCTCTATGACAAGAGTGAAACTCAGTATGCGTGGAAGAGACAGGCTACAGGACAATATGAGTTTCAAGGCTGGACCATCAGTTAATATCATGCGGGATTTTGGATTCAACAAGGTATGGAGCTGTATCTTTAGAATTGCTTTCACTTTTTTACAGCAGGTCCAAGCAAATTTCAGAGATCTCCAAGCCTTAGAAAGGTCAAGGTCAAGGTATAAATGGCAATTGAAACTTGAACCCAGGGGGAAGTATCCGAGTGTTACGGGCAGCAGATATTAAGAGATTTGGTTTTGTGGCAGAAGCTAATGACCACTAGGACTCAAAAAGGATTTGTTTCCAACTTTGTCTATTCATCTTCGATAGCTGAGTTTTTAATTAATATGCAAGCTCTGAAGAGAGAAAAATCCCACGACTAATAATATGCCTTAATGTATTTTCCTCTTTTTTTCCAAATGTAGATCAAATTTTTGGCTCCCATTTGCACTTGGTTTGTGAGCATGAGAAATCTACAGTCCCCCAGTTTGTAAGACTGTGTATAAAAGCTGTTGAAAGAAGAGGTGAGTACCTTAATATTTAACATTATTTTTTTTCTCTATTAGTAATCAAAACTTTACCCTTGTAACTCTGCTCTAATTGCCAGGGTAGGCAGGCAGTTCAATTTATAATATAGTTATGAACTGAACTATATCACATTCTGTATCTTCATTTTCCTTATATGATAAGACACTGATAGAACCCACTCATGCTGATTATTCCTTATATTTTGTTTGACATGTTGTTGTTTTAGTCTTTCTCTGGGTAAGCAAATGCTAAACATCAATAAAATGTCAGTAACTTTCATTCTGAAGTCTCTGGTGAGCGTGATGCCAATACTTTTTCCTAAGTCCTGAATTGTATTCAAGCAAAATACAGGCTATTCTAGTGTGACCATATTTTTTTTTAATGTGTGCAGGTGTCTAATTTTTGCAGTTATTTTAAAAAGCCGTAATACTGTAAGAATATTGGAATGAATATTCATCCTCATTAAAAGTTTTGATTAATTTAATAAGAAGGATTTTCATGGTATAAAAAGATGTGCTTAACACCATTGCCTGCCTTCCTTTCTTCAGAGTGTATCTTCTCTCATTGAAGGTCATTTTCTTTGGAAGGTACATGCGGTAGATGCAGAATCTTAAAATGTATTGTATAAAAATGTGAGGCTTCATCACCATCTGTTACAAGTTTACAACTTGTTCCAGGGATCTGGGGAAACATATATCTTGCAAAAGATAGAAAATTTATTTTCAGAATAAAGCTGGGTGAACCCATTGTCACTGCCATATACTGGAGTCTCAGAACAAGAGAACCAATGACAAATAAAAAGACACTTAGACCGTTAACCACAAAGGAAAAAGCTATTTTAATTCCATCATTGTTACCTGGTTTTATAGTGAAAGGTGCAATAAAACTACCCTGGAGTTTCAAACTCTGGGAAATTCATGCTTTAATTATACAGCAAAGAGAGCACTGGGATATTATTATTCCCAGAATGATTGGCAGGAAGTCAAAGACTAACAAACTGGAGATTGTTCGGTAGGGGGAGATAGTAGCATTGGTTTTTTGGAGGAAGGCTGGAGGCTGGATAAAGAAAGAGACAAAGAAAGGGGAGAAATGTGTGAAGTGACTATTAATAGAGGAGGAATTATAAGGAGAAATTCAGAACGTGAAAAGGAAAGGCAGAGATAAGATTATAAAAATGCCACACCATGCAGAACACATCTAATTGACTGTTCAGTTACGATCTTAGCACAGGTTCTCCAAAAGATGCACTAGATATTTCATAGATGTTTTGTGATATCTGACCACTCCTCCAGGAGAAGTGAGGCCAGAGGTCTCTGCATTGCTGAACTGTAATAGAAAAATCCCAGAAACCTAATTAGATGTTTATTGTCTGTGTGATTATCAGAGAAAAGTTCACGGAAGAAAATGAAAATATCACTGTTTCTTCAGAGGAGTTCACCCTTCGGAGTATTGCATTATTGTTCTTGTGTTTTCTTCAAACTTGCCGTGACTTAGAGAAGTCTACCCATTTTAGTTAGTCTAATACGTAAATAAAAGCTAATCATATGGCATGAGATAAAAATTTCATTTTATCACTGTATTTATGAGTTTATATTTGATATACAGTTTTTTCTATTATCATTTTCTTGGATTAAGATGCTTGCATTTACTCACATTCTATTTACTCAAAGTGTTGTTTTTACTAAGTTCTGGCATAAACTATCTCAGGACAGCAGTAATTTATGTGAAGCTAAGTCCAATGTTTATGCAAGCTTCTGATGACATTTTATACCGGGGTTGGTATTAGGAAGCAGTATGTGGAGGTGCCAAGTCTCCCGGCATGGCTGAGACTCAACAGATCTGAAGCCCTCCTCTTAATGGCCAGATATGCCTCCAGCCAAGATACTCAACTGCAGAGTCATGGGAAATACTTATGTACCAATTATGGAAAAGGCACATTTAATGAAAACTGTATGTTTACTTTCATAGTCTTAGTAAGATGGCCTAGATACTCAGTACAGCTGGCATATTGGCTGTTGTAGAAAAGCTTTTTTTCCTATTTAGAAAATACATCATCTACATACTGTAACTGTACCAAAAATGTTACTTGCGTGCTTCATTTAAGATAAAGGATTATTAAGAAAAAATACCTTAGGAGACTAACTCGAAATGTTACATACAAAACATTCATACTTTGCTGAATGGTTGCGTTCTTATTTGTCAGCTCAAGGACTTTATTATTATTTACCTATTGATTTTCTATTTGGTTTTTTAAATCATTTTAAAAACATTATTTCTGTGCAGAAAAAGAAAGTCTAGCAGTGATCTGAATAAACCATATTAATTAGTACATTTACCTGTGTAGATGAGGTTACATGCAATAGCCAACTGTAGTAATATTCTCCCACAGATTAAAAATGTAGAGGGTGTCATTAACTGTTGGCAAGATTTCCTGTTTAGTTACACTATTTTTAAATTAATATCTACATTGAAATCAAAGGAATTATTCTGAAATTATTTTGCTGCAACTTAGATCAGATTTTGGTTGTTTATCCCGTGGGCTACTGTTTGCTTATTTACCATTTCAGGACAGAGGTGCTTTAGAAGGTTTAGTGTAAATATTCTCACACCGTAATGCATATTTATCTATCTGACAAGGATTCACTTGTTCAAGAAGTGAATTCAATGAATTCCATTTTTCCAGACTCTTTTGCTGTTTGTAGTTATTGAAATAGGACTGGGAGGCAGAAGGTATTTCTACATTTACTCAGCCATCTTGCAGAGATGGTAGTGGAGTTTAGTAAAGAGAGTCAATAAAAATGTGCCCATGCTTGTAAACTTGCAAGGCAATTGTCACATCAATTCTTCTTTTTCTTTTTTTGAAGCAATCTCAGGGTTTTTTTTCATTCTTCCTGTTTTATTTATTCATTCACAATTTTTGGTAAACTTCTTGTCCCTAGTACTTAGCTATACAGACCTGTGCCACTGAAGCCAATAGTATCTAGACAAAGAGCATTGCGCCCTTGGTATCTAATGCAATATCCTAAATAGAAAAAAACTCCCATGTGTACGATGTGACCTGGTGAAGATAAGAGAATAATTCTGAACCATGCAATGATCAGGTTGAAGAAATACAGCGGCTACTCAAAGATTTCTAACATTTAACTTTCTACTTCCTCAGGGTCTTGGAAGGAAACTTTTTCATGGAACAGCGTACTCCTTGTTTTTTCTGTGTAGTCTTTTACTTTGCCATCAACACCTACCTTGGATGTACCTCGGGCTTTTCTGGGGCTGTTGACTTGCCTTTTTCAATCTGTATTCCACGCTTTTCCTTCTTCCCAGAAAGTGACTGATAGGTAGCCCCGACCCTGAGCTGGGCAGTGCAGCAAGGAAAGCCTGGGACAATCCTCCCAGTGTACTATAACTCACATGCTGTGCACTCCTGCCAAGGGTGGGGGCCATTGCAAGATTTTTGGTGTTTCTAGGCCAGATATTATTTCCAGTCATTTCTTGAGTCACCTATTTATTTTGTTATCCATGACCCTTTAAAAGTGCTGGCTGGTTTTTTGCATTTTTTTTTTAAATATGTGAAAGGCATGAGTAGAACGCATTAAAAAAATAAAAATATCAGTCTGCATTATACCTAAACAAAATGCCATCTAGTACTTCTCATAGTAAAGTTTTATCGTGTGAAAACAGTCTGATACTAAACTCTTTTCAAGGGATGATCATTTGTCTCTGTGTCTAATGACAGAGTAAATGAACACCCCGAGCAGTCAGTATCCTAAACCTGTCGAGGGTATCCAGTGTAGTTTAGGTTTTGTAAAGAAATACGGTACTAATGCTCCAGGGAAATATATTTTAACTTTCATCTCTCTTTTGAAACGTCCTTCATTTTTTCGCTCCATTCCCAAATCCAAGTGAGTGTTCTCAAATCAGCCTAAATGACTTGAAAAATGACACTGCAGGCAGCAAAGCTGATGATTACAGGTACCGTTTCCATTCTGAACTGGACATTGCAGACATTGTTTTCTGTTGCTTTTCTTGGAGCACAGGATGCTCTGACAGGAATGATACACAAAATTACATATTTGATTCAATGCCTAAAAGCCACCCTGGGATCCATAACCTTGCTTAAAGATTTAAGAAAGACCTTTAGTCCACTTCTGAGAAGGTTCTTAGCTTAGAAAACTTTATCTTTCAACTTTACTTCTTAGCAGCTGTTATGTTTTTTTGCTGTCGTTTGTTTGACAGGATCCAGTTATAGGTTCCGATGTCTGTTTAAAGAAACAGGGAGGTTGTTGGCTTTAAAATTCCCTTACTGCTTGTGTGTTCAACATTTTCCCAGGCTTTTCTACATAGTTTGCCAAGTAAAGGGACTGACCTTTTGTAGCAAACACTTTTTCATTTCTAAATGCTCACTTTGATTTTTGTCCCATTTTATGCTCATTCCAAACTGTTTACAACCCACTAAAAATGACTGTGAATTATATGTTTGTGTAATGGATTCCTTTTGTGGTCGGAGTGGAATGTTTACTTTGAACAATTAGTTATCTTTGGGCAGATTATAGTGACCTGAAAAAAGAATGGCTAAAATTATTATAGTACCTTAACTATTTCCTTTTGTTATCTCCTCTGTTTGTTCAATGTATTATTTACTGGGTTTCGTTGCTCTGAGCCCCAGTGAACAAATCATGTTTAATAAGCGCAGCGACAAAAAATCCCTGAGCGTAGGACTCTTGGTTCGGGGGGCTGATCTGCTGGGGTCGGAGCGGGTATGCTAGGGAGACTTCAGAAGTGACCATTAGCCTGGGTGTGTAATTTTAAGAAGACACAGTTTTGAGAGAAATTTTAAGCGCTTAGTCTCTGAAAATCAGCGTTCTTAAAGGTGTCCAAAGTTTGACACCCCAAAGCACCTAAAATCAAGACTCAGTCTAGCTTTCACGTCCATAGCTGTGATTCGGTTACGCACAATATCATTGCAGAAATGCACACACACAAAGTCTCATACAGCAGA